CTAGCTTTACTAAAGACTTCCTTTAGATCATGATAACATGTGGGGACCTTTGATAAATCAGGGGTAATCAGAAAAATAGTCAGAAAGAGGTTCGTTGTGACAGTCTGCTTTAGAAGTGGAGATTTTCCTCAGTATCAACTTACTCTGATCGTGTACACACTTCTGTTTACACAACAATCCCCACTCTTGTACTTTCCCTGACCGCCAATCAATGACAGGATTGTGCAAAAGTAACCAAGGGTAACCTAAAATGATCGGGTGTTGAGCTGATTTAAACACATGAAAAACGATGTTCTCAACATGAGTGTCATTGATTGTCATTTTTACAGGTGTGGTGCAATGAGTCACTGTGAATAGTAGGCGCCCATCTAACGCGTTCGCTTTTAACGGCGAAGGTAATGGCATCAACGTCAGGTTAAGCCTAAGAGCCAGCTCTTTATCCAAAAAACTCTCATCAGCTCCAGAATCTACAAGTGCCCCCTGTTCAATAACCTTCACATAGCATAACTTGAGTTAATGTGCGTGGAGGGAAGTCAAAAAAGTCAGATTGGCTCACCAGTGTCTTCCCTTTCACCGGCGAGCCTGTTCTTTTACTGGACACATGGCTTGTTGAGGACCCTGTTGACCGCAGTAGAAACATCTTGCCTCCACTAGGCGGCGACGTCGTTCTTCCGGTGAGATTCTGGCCCTGCCGAGCTGCATCGGCTCCTCCGAGTCAATGGGGGGCGCTGTGGCCTCTGAACCAGGTGACGAGCCGAATGATGTCCTCCGGACAGGATGAACAGCTGTTGAGAACCTGGTTCCGCTGGACGAAACGGCAGTCTTCTTTCTTTCTTTATCTATCTCTCTCACAGATGCGATTGTCAATCTTAATAGCAGCCGCTACCATACTTTCTAAGTCTTTGTGAGGATCCATAAGCAATAAATGATCCTTAATTTTCTCTGATAGTCCGTTCCGAAATATGTCCCTTAACGCTGAATCATTCCAATCGCAATTAATAGCCATAGTGCGGAACTCAATTGCATAATCCGCCACTCGGCGTTGATTTTGCTGAATGTATGTCAAATTATGTGCGCTCTCTACAGCTGGTGTGTGATGTGCAAACACTCTTTTAAACGAATGGATGAACTGAGAGACAGAGTTGCAAGTTGCAGAATTTGTCTCCCACTCCGCCGTAGCCCATGCAGCCGCACGGCCGGACAGATGAGAAATGATAAATGCAATCTGAGCATAATCAGAGCTATATATGTAGGGCATTAACTTAAAGTGTAGATCACACTGAGTCAGAAAGGATCTACAGTCATTGGAATCTCCGGAAAACTTATCTGGAGGGGCCAAGTGAGGCAACGGGACAGCATGTGATCCAGGAAGTGGCGCCGCTGTAGTAGGAGGGGCTGCCAGCTGTTGAGGATGAGCCGCAGCATCAGGTAATGACGGAGCAGTGGCACCGGCGTCCAGGCGTGCCAGCACACGATGCACCGCCTCCGCCATGTCGCTGATTTGTGTGTTGACCGAGGCTTGGAGTCCATGTTGCTGCTCCGCCAAATCCCTCACTGCCTGGTGTATGACAGAGAACTTCTCCTCATGATGGTGTAGACGTTCGCCCTGAAGTCGTATCGCTGTTTTAACTGGTTCTGCATCTGCTAATTCCATGTTTTGGCCAGATTGTACTGTTAGGGCTGTACAAGGGTGTGGAATCAAATGCACGATGCAGAGACAAACAAAGTATCAAAATAAAGTGTTTTAATGTAGACAGGTCATAACACACTGAATACATAAAGCAACAAAACAAAAACTACTAATACACTAATCTAACTCTATGGACAATGACAAAAGGATTTTACGCTGAAAGGCTTGGAACACACAAGACAATCTGGCAACGAGACAGGGGAAGACGAGAACTATATATACTAGACAGACAACACCAGGTGAAGACAATTAGACAATCACAACCGTGGGAAAACAGACACGGCAGGAAACGTACTTTAGACACATGAGGGTAGACAAGACTATCAAAAATAAAACAGGAACCTATCTAAACACATAACATGAAACCTAAACTAGGGAACAATCTTAGCAGAGCCGTCTACGCACAACAACTGGGCCTGGGCTTGATATGTAGCGTTTCTCCAAGTCAGATAACGTAGATTCAAGTAGCTTATGTTGTTCAATCTTTCTGCGTCTCTTAGAAGCTACAAAAGACACAATCAAGCCCCGAGAGTATGCTTTACAAGTTTCCCACAGGATAGAGGGATTAGTAGATGATGAGTTAATTGAATAGAACACCTTGAATTCTGACATAAAATAGGAAATGAAATTATCATCCTTTAGAAGAGATGATTGAAGTCTCAAGCGCCTTGACAATGCTCTTTCCTCAGAAAGAGAATACACCATATATAGGGGTGCGTGGTCAGAAAGGATAATGCTACCTATGGTACATGACAGAACCAAGAATATTTTTGAACATGGAATAAAAAGGTAATCAATTCGAGTGTGGCTTTTATGAGGGGCAGAAAAAAAAGTAAACTCTGAGTCAGTGGAATGAAGCTCCCTCCATACATCTGAATACCCAATGTCATTACTGTTAGAAATTAAAATCAATGTTTTGATAGCATAATGTACCTTAAACATACCTTCAGTTTAAATGCTGTTTTATACTGAAAAACCAGAAGTTCTTGTGCACAACCAGTTGTTAAGTATTTTATTCTGAAAATCCTTCATCTCCGGTTAGCAGTTAGCATGTGGCTAGTTTACCATTTCTTATAGAGGTGAATTTAGTAGCGAAATGACATGGAGTGATGCACACCGAAACCTACTGATTTTAACACTGCAACTATAGACGTATTATTATTGCTGAATATTAAATTTAGGTACAGTTTATTTGAATAAAGTTATTGTTTACAGACGTGGGTAAGATGTGACAACATCCGGAATGACCAGGAACCAAACCAGCCGTGAAGTATTTTCTGTATTTTTTAGAATATTAACTACAACGTTTAGAATGTGTTGAAAAGTGATGAAAGACAATATGAGGAGAAGAGGCGTGTTTAAGTATATATTGAATGTACAATGCCTAAATCCTCTGTTTAACGGAACAACGGACATTAAGATGTGGAGGGCCGGCCCGCAGGGAGGAGCCAGGAGAAGATATATAGCAGCAGCACCTGAGCGGTTCGGCCTCTCTTTTCCCTCTGCTAGCGAGAGCCAGAGACAGCTGCTTTTCTGTCGAACAAAATCCTGTTTGTGACTTTACCGCGCCTTTTTATTAATTAAAGTACCAAATTTGAACCTCCAGAGACTCCATTTAGTCTCCTTTTTTAAGCTTCTCTTTCCTGGACGCGAGAATAACGATCACAGTTAACATTACATATAGAATTGAGCACCCTAGCTTGCTTTGAAGGGGGATTGATGCCTGGTGGAAATGTATCCAGAGAGGGATTAAGATGGCAGTTAAAATCACCTCCCACGAAGGAGTCCTCAGATGCCAGTTCTGTAAACTCTGCAAAGGCCTTGGACAGAAAATCAGTGGGATAAGCAGGAGGGCAATAGAGATTCACAAGTGTTATAGCCTTACCAGAGAGTACTGCTTTGACAATCGCATAGCGACCCTGACTGTCTTTAACACAGTCAAGGGACCTAAAGGCAAGCTTTTTACTAACCAGAATGGCCACACCCCTACTACATGATGAGTATGATGTTGCAAAAACCTGCCCCACCCAGCTCTTCTGTAATTTTGCAATGTCTTTGTCTTCCAAGTGAGTCTCCTGAAGGAAAGCAATAGAAACATCCTCCTTTTTCAAATATGACAATACTGCCATCCTCTTGGCAGGCTTCTGGAGACCACGGACATTCCAAGAACAGAGCTTTAATGGTATTTCAATTAGACATAGTCCATGATACATTGTATTGGTCCTGTTAATGAAATAATAACCAGCCCAATCCAGGGCATAGCCCCCACCTCCTCTAATAGCAGCATCAAGCGACTAATACAGTCGTAATTATACGCAACTCAAACCTGAGACATGCATGTCCTGAGCAAGACAACAACACTGAACAAACAAGCATAACAACTGTAAACAACACAAATACAAGTTGAGGGCATTTCCCCAAAATAACAGGGACTGTTCACCAACCAGTAACTCTCAATCGCACCACAAAGAGCGAAATGGCAGTGGATAAGAGTAAACATTATAAGAAAAAAAAGCACACCGTACGGGAGTAATCCCTATACAATATAAAAGTAATACTCACATGTGGGCAACCGCGCCACTCGGATTATGTGAAAAAGAGTGTAAAGTTTTAAGTCTATGCCGTGCTGCAGGAGATTATTATCCAGACAGGGAGTCCAGGAAATCGCGTACTAGCTCCGGGGAAGAAAACCTCTTCTTGGAGCCTCCGTGGGACACCTGTAGAGTAGCCGGGAAGAGCATAGCATACGGTATTCCTCTCTCCCGTAGCCGCTGTTTCGCCGCATCATACACCTTGCATTTCCTCATCACCACCGGAGAGAAGTCGCTGTAGAAAGAGAGCCTGGATCCATTGTGTGTAAGGGCGCCGTCTTGACTGGCTCGCCGTGCCGCTTCCATCACTTTCTGCTTGTCTCTGAATGTATGAAGTCGCAGCAACACCGACCTGGGGTACTTGTTCGGGTCCGGTCTGGGAGCTAACGAGCGGTGTGCTCTTTCCAGTTTTATGCGCCCCGCTTTTGTAGCCATGCCATCGGTGAGTGGCAACCACGATTCAAAGAAATCCACTGCACTCAAAAAAAACGATTCAAGCCCTTCTTAGACTTGACACTTAATAATTGTTTCACTTTACTTAAATATTTTTATTTAAGAAATAAACCTAAGTATAGTTCATTAGTGTAACACAAATTACATTAATCAATTCACTTATTAAATGTATTTAAGACAGAGCAACTCAAAATGAATTGTTATCATTTGGGACCGCCCCTTTGCACATCACCTTTGCGCATGCACAAGATCCGTTCTGTCATTTGCCGCCTTTTGTCTAACACTGACTGGAAACTGACTGGGGAAACTGACGGTGGAAAGTCTATTATTTGGTAAGTATTTGTTTTTTCTAGTAGTTTAGAATGTTCCCTGTTTCCAAGTAGGCCTAATGCCTTTTCATTATATCGACAAGAATATTTGAAACCACCGTGTTATATTTTGCTCCGTTTTTAGTTGGGTCTAAACAGCAAGCTAGCTAGCTTGCTAGATATGGTTAGCATTGAATACTGGATAGTAGAGATCATTAGATTATATTAAATTAGATGTCACGTTATTGTCATTGAACACAGTACACCGAAATTCAGTTTAAATTCAACCAAAAAATGCAAAGAGTAATTCAAGTGCACGAGGTAAAGCAGCAAGCTAGCTAGCTGGATAACTGGTTTGTTAGCTAGCTTGCTAGATACGGTTAGCATTGAATACTGGATAATGGAGATCATTAGATTATATTACATTCGATTTAACGTTATTGTCATTGAACACATTGCCTGTTGATGTCCTTAATGAGGGAGTCGTGTCTACACTGAAACAAAGTTTCCCAGATGTGACTGAGGTTCATATGGCAAACAATGTGTCTAGCTTGGGTATACGTTACTGCGAGGGGATGATTATTGTACACGGATCTGCAGATGGACTGCCTAAATTCCATGAGATCATTAAACTTTGCATTGTTAAGGAGAAGTTGTGTTTTCTGGTAAAAGACGCATGTGCTTGGTACAGAGAGCATTATGGTGCTTTTGAGCTGTCTGCCTCGCCCAATACAGAGGTTGCCGTTATTGAGCTTGCTGACTTGGTAGACCCCTATCCCCTTGTTGACTACATGGTTGGGAGTTTGCGCATGGTAATGTTGAAAAGATTCATCATTGTTAAAGGTGAGTATCATTTTTAAACCTAAATAGTCTGAGCTCTGGATAGCAGGCTCTGACAAAAACTGTAAAACCATTTTTATGTTCATCTTTGATATAATCCTAATGTGTTTCTTTCACCTTGTTTCTGCTCTAGATTAAAAGGTGTTCCATAATGGCAGGTCGGGCGCTTCTGCGCATCATCTTTGCCGACCAGTCTGACTCTAGAAAACTGACCCTGGATTCGGGAATCCCAGCAACAGTTGAAGAACTGCACACATTTGTCAAGACATCTCTTCAATTGAAAGAGGACTTCCGTCTGCAATACATGGATGTTGACTTTAACGAGTTCATGAATCTTACATCAGTGTCTGAAATTCAGGATAAAAGCACACTGAAAGTAATTTACTCTCCTATATTGTCAAATATTGAGCCCTCCATCACTTTGTACACAGTTGACTCATTTGATAAGACCTCAATTACTGGAAGCTCAGAGCCTCTAATCCCTGAATCATCAATAGCCTCATGCTGCAGTGATGATATGGTGTATACGTCAACCCCGCATCCATCCCCTGAAGCTCAGGCCTCACAATTGTTATCCTGGCCCACAGTTTTTGTGGTTCCTAAGCTCACCTACGAGGCTGAATTTGAGCTTCATCTAAAGAATGCAGAGTTTGAGACAACTGGTACATACTTCCAGCCTGGCCTAAAGCTGAAAGGAGTCATTCTTGATGGCCTAGCCCAAGAAATGATCAAATTCACAAAATATCCGAAAGACTATCAGTGTGAAGAGGTAGCTGCAGCGTTGACGAGGGCCCACCCTTGTTTGGGGCAGCTAGGATCCAAGACAGGATTTGGGGGGTGGAAACAGTCTCTTAAGTACAAAATGCAAAACTATCGTACAAAGCTTGGCCGTCTTGGACATCCTGAAATCCTTGTGAACTCCTTAAAGCACAAGAAAACAGGCCAAGGCAAAGCTGCAGCAAACATAAAAAAAACCAAGAAAAGCTGAAGTAAACTACATTCCTCTGCACCCAAAAGGCGAAACCACAGAAAGCTTGGAGAACGAGAGAATTGCCTTATTGTCAGAACTGAAAAAGCGTGACAATGAAGTGGTGATAAAAGCAAAAATGGAAAAAACCTTCTCCACAGACGCCTTGAGATTGTGGAGCAAAGGCCTTTGATAGGGGACTTCAAATGCAGATGGCCTGCTCTGTTTCAGCAGAGTGAAGTAAGTAAATATTTGTATTTGTTGACAGTCTTTTATTATTGTCTTTTGTGATTCATGTCTACATCCTTGCATGGTTGTGATTCTAATAAACAAGTAACAATTGGTTGTATTGTGCTTGTTAATAATATTTTTAAGGTGAATGCGGAGTTTTTGAGGATCACAACATCACCACTTCAATCAAAGTTCATGTGGCAGCTGGACCACTTCTCAGACAAGCTCTTGAAGATCTTCAAGACCAAAGGAGGAGTGAAGGGGCACAAAATCAAGGAAGCCCTTGCAATATCAGATTCGGTTAGTATAAATGCAGAGAACCTCGTTTTTCACTGTATTGTTTTTGTCCATGATCATATGAACACATTTAAGAAATTGTCTGCTTTTATAGTGTTTTTAAGGCAATAGCTTATTGTGGAAATGTAGGTGTAAGGAGTCCTGCTTAGGGACACACACGACAGATACAGCCCTCTACGTTGTAAACTACCTGCTCTGTTGCACATGCATTGTGCTTAATTGTCTTTGATTTATCGCCCCTGCTTTAGTTTGAAAACATCCACATCAAGAGGGGGTGCATCCTGCGAAGCATCGCGATCTACCTCAACGAGGATCCAGACTCTTTTTTTAAGGAGTATCAGGTATGTTTATCACAATATGTTTTCAATGTATTGGTTAACAGTGTTACCCACAATTATAACCACCATTACTTACATTTATAATAAGAAAATTATATGGCACACAACCCTATCCCTGCTTACATCTAAATATCTTATCACATATCATAAATACATGCAGAAATAAATAAATCTATACATTAATATAGGAATGAATATATGTAAGAATGAATAAATACAGAAATAAAAAAATAATAATAAATAGATACAGAAGTAATTTCATCGGGCAAGTGTTAAAATAAATATAGAAAAAAGTGAATTAATACATTTATACAGATATAAATACATCTATAAATTAACATAGGAATACAATTGATAAATACAAATGTGAATTAAAACATGAATATATCTGGAAATAAATACAAATAATAAATGAATGCTGAAATAAATATTTACATTTATATATAAATACATCTATAAATGAATAAATAAATATGGACATGAATACATATGTAAGAACTTATAAATAATTGAATAAATACATAAATAAAATAATAAATAAATGCTGAAATATATTAATCAATAGATTCATGTTTAAAAAGGTATGTGAATGCAGCAATTACTAAATTGTTAAAGGAATAATTACATAATCACATAAATCAAGGAAATAAATTATTAAAGAATAAATAATCAAATACATATCGAAATAAGTAGGTAAATGCATAATTAACTACAGGAATAACAACAAATTACATGATTAAGTAGGGACGTAAACAAATAATACCTGAATTAATAAATAAGATAACGTTGATAATCAAACAGAACATACAGGAATATATCTTTATAACTTATTTATGCAAACATTTTCTTACAAGCTTAATTTAGTTCTGTGTTGGAGGTCCTAACCTTCTCTGGTATCACTCGGACATTTTTGTCCAAATTGGTAATTTTTCACATCAGATTTGGCTATAATGATTTTGTGTTTTTTCTAGATACTTTTTGGAATTTCAATTTTTCTAATCGGTCTCGAATACACTGTACAAATTACCCTAATTGTCCATTTAAAAAATGTTCCCACACTTCCCAAAAAGTGTGGGGGAAAAATATTTAAATATAATATTTGTATCATATCATTTTATCATTCAAGTTTTTGAAAGTGGACATTTTATCCTGAGTGGCCAAATAGGGTAGTACATTTGAGTGATACCAGAGGGTTAGTCTAAAACTGTTTTGATCAATTAGGAGAGCCACATAAGTAAATCTGCTTCTATAAAATGTAGTAATTCAGGTTTTAGTTAACACATATGTTGTATGTTTGTGTCTTTGTTCAGGCCTCTGCCTCTGAAGATGCCAAGAGGGACATGGCAAACACAGTCATGGGCATATACACACTTCAAAGAGATGTGGATGGGCAGCCAGAGGACGTGGGAATTGTCATCGAAGGCAATATAGTCATGGACAACTTGGGCAGCGTGATTGTGGGGTTTGTCATGCTATTGGGACTTATTTATGCCCTGGATTTGAGCTTTCCGGACAACCTCAAACACACCTTCGAGTTCATGCAGAAGGTAGTGATGAATCTGGATGGGCACAAGCTGAATGGTAAAATCGAAAGTCTGAAGATCAAGTTGTTCGATTGAAATGTGAAAAAGAAGTGACTCATGAGTTCATTGTTGTCATTTTATTCACGAGTTTCCTAGTCAGAGCAGATTGAGCCGTTATATCAATCATTTGTTCTGTGCTTTTCTGTATTTGTTTCAACACACTGTAACACTTTCCATATGTTGGTGTTTGCAGTGCACTCTTTATGTTATGTGTTATTGTCCTGTTAGAAGAGCAGTGCATACCCCTGTTATATTGTATTCATTGTATTTGGCAAAGGGAGATTTGTAAGTTAATTATAGGAGTTCCATTTCTCTGCCATTTTAAAAATGGTATTATCTTTCAGAAATGTTTTTCATCTTTCAGTGTGAATTCATTCATTTTAAAAAGACTGTATTGAATGGAGGATTGTTTTGAATAATGTGAATTTAAAAATAAAAAAAACTAAACCATGTTTTCTATCATGTGTAACACATTTTTATTAAATTATATTTAACCTCATTATTTCATTTTCAATTAATTAAATAGGATTTAGGTGGACTAGCATTATTTAAATTCATAAAGGTAATGTTATCATTTTACTTAAACTCTATTTGAAAAATTTGAGTTGGACTAACTCATTTACATTATACTGCATGGATGCCATTAGTTTGAGTTTGTGCCACATATATTTATTGGATGGAAAACCTGCCAACAATAAAATTGAGTTAATCCAATGAGTTATTTCTTTGAGTGTGGTTGCCCCGTCTCTGTGCCCTCAGCCAAGCCGACGACCCGAATATTCAGACGCCTGTTGTAGTTTTCAGCCATATCTAAACTCTCCGCCAGAGCACTGACCTGCTTCTCTAATTCGGCTATCCTCGGCTCTTGCGCTGTGGCGGAGTTTTCCACGGCCATGATCCTGGTCTCTGCCTCATCTAGCCGCCTGTTAGCAGACTGGAGCTCCACAGAGTGGTTATGAATAGTCTCGACCAGCGGGCTGAGTTTATCATCGATTACTTTTATGATGTTAGCAGTCATGAAGTTTAGGGCTTTGGCAAGGGCAGGGTCGAGTTCGTCAGAGATAACAGATTCGGCTTTTTCGCCATCTTGCGTGCATTCACCAGGCTCAGATTCAGCGGTGTCTTTCTTGTCTCTATTCCTTTGAGTTCTTCCCATTTTGTCAAAAGACTGTGGCCAAAAGTTTTCCAAGGGCATAGCCTGAAATGCTCATACGAAAAGTGGCTTCCAAAACACGGTTAATAACAGGATAATAGCATAATTAGAACCGAGTGGCACGGAGCTCCAGCCAAAACGTGTGTTCACCTCGCCGCCATCACGTGACCTCCCGAGATTTTTCTTTTTTTTTTTATATTTTATTCACATGTAAAAAAAGAAAAGAAAGTGTAACAGTGCATTACAGCAATTAAGGCATTTTCATTTTTTCCCTCCCAAAAGAACCCTTACTCACTTTCCCTTAACCCCGCCCCATCCCAACCACCCCTCTCCCGGAGCACTGAGGCAACAGTACATCAATACAATACAAAATGATAGATACAATAATATACATATACATACATACATACTAACACATATCCAGGGATGTCACATGGGCTGCCTATGTGGTGGACAGGGGAGTAATCATATCAGAATTATAGACGGATAAATAAAGGGAGAATCCCTACAGCGACACCATATCAGGGGGAAGACGGTCTACATAGCTGATCAGTGGCCTCCAATGAGCGTAAAACTTATCTGAGGAACCCCGGAGAGTAAACTTAATTTTTTCCAACTTTAGAAGAGACATAGTATCACTCAGCCACATTTGAAAAGAGGGAGGTAAAGGAGATTTCCACAAAAGAAGGATTTTCCTACGAGCAATCAAGGAGGTAAAGGCCATGACATTGGTTTGAGTGTTTGTAATGTTGATTCCATCTGGGGGCCTACCGAAAATAGCTACATGAGGGGATGGAGAGATTTTTAGACCTACAATTTCAGAAATACATTCGAAGAAAGATTGCCAGAAGCTAGATAATTTAGGGCACGACCAGAACATGTGAGTCAGGTCGCAGGGGGCCTGGGAGCATCTATCACACCGGTCATCCAATCTATCTGGATAAATCCTGGAGAGCTTAGCCTTGCTATAATGTAGTCTATGGAGAACTTTAAACTGTATTAGGCTGAGTCTAGCGCAACTGGAGGATGAGTTAACGGCTCTCAGGGCCTTCTTCCAAAAGTCATCAGAGAAGGTGAACTGTAGTTCCTTTTCCCAATTAGTTCTAATCTTGTTAATGGCAGATTCATCAACCGGAGAAAAAAGATCATAAAAGTAAGAGACATGGCGCCTAGACAAAGTTCTTGCTCTAAGTACAAGATCCACTCCACTGGGAGGCAGGGATTGAGGGAATTGTGGAGAGTGGGTCTTAGCAAAATCCCTTAGTTGAAAGTATCTAAAGAAATCAGATCCTCTTAGATTAAAGGCAATCCGTAGTTGGTCAAAACTGGCAAACAGGCTATCAATGTATAACTCTCCTATGCAGCGGAGGCCTTCCCTCTCCAAGTGAGAAAATCGGGGGTCAATAGTGGCTGGTAAAAATAGATGGTTGTTACAGACAGGAGTTGCTTGAGGAAGAGTAAGCCAACCAAAGTGACGTCTAACTTGTGCCCAGATCTTTAAAGTGCCAATTACAACGGGGTTAGATGTGAATTGTGAGGGGGAAAGGGGCAGAGTGCTAAACGTGAGGGCTTGAAGTGACGTGGATCGACATGAGTTGGCCTCCACAAGACACCAGTCACTCTGGGGTGAAGTGAACCAGAGCATGATCTTGTGTGTTTGTGGCCCAGTAATAACCCATAAGGTTAGGTAAACCAAGCCCACCCAGGAACCTGTCCCTCTGCAGTAAAGGTCTACTAGCTCTTGCATGTTTACCAGCCCAAATAAATGAGAAAATAATATTATCAATAGCAGTGAAAAAAGATTTAGGCAAAAAAATAGGTAGGCATTGGAAGATGTATAGATATCTGGGCAGTACATTCATTTTTATTGTCTGAACTGTTCCTGCTAAAGAGAGTGCCAGATGGCCCCACCTCTGCAGGTCAGATTTGACTATTGCCATCAGGACAGTAAGATTTTGTTCCCGTAGCGCACTAAAAGACTGCGTGATTGCAATGCCCAGATATTTAAACCCTGAGTTGGATATTCTAAAAGGCAACGACAACGGAGGTAATTCTGTAGCCAATTGGTTGATAGGGAAACATTCACTCTTTTGGATGTTTAATTTGTATCCTGAAAATGAACCAAAAGTGGTCAAAAGTGAGAGAATGTGTGGAGTACTAGCTATAGGATCGCGCACATACAGAAGGAGGTCGTCAGCATATAACGAGACCCTGTGTTCGATATCCCCTCTCTGAATCCCCTTAATTCCTCTCTCTGCTTTTAGAGCAATCGACAATGGCTCGATAGCAATTGCAAATAGTAGTGGGGAGAGCGGACACCCCTGACGCGTCCCGCGAAAAAGAGGAAAGAATTTGGAGCGCTGGGTGTTCGTACATACAGAGGAGTGAGGAGAAGAGTACAGAAGTCTAACCCAGGAGACGAGGCCTGGACCAAATCCCAGCTGTTGAAGGACAGAAAACAGATAGGCCCACTCAACCCTGTCGAAGGCCTTCTCAGCATCAAGAGATATGACAACCTCCGGTTCAGCAGGAGAAGGCGGGCTGTGGATGACGCTGAGAAGTCTTCGGACATTTGTGAAGGAGTGCCTCCCCCCTATGAATCCTGTCTGATCTTCCGAAATGATGGAGGGTATAATAGATTCCAACCGGCGAGCAAAAATCTTCGCAAGTATTTTCACATCTACAGACAGGAGCGAGATTGGGCGATATGATGCACAGCTCAACGGGTCCTTACCCTTCTTAAAGATCAGAGAGATAGAGGCTTGCATAAGGGTAGGCGGCAGTGAGCCTTGGACGTACGACGAATTAAACATATCTAATAATAATGGGGAAAGTTGATTTGAGAATTTTTTGTAGAATTCTACCGGGTATCCGTCAGGTCCCGGTGATTTGCCACTATTCATGGACTGTATTGCCTCTTTAATCTCAGCAAGCTGCAGGTTGGCATCTAGTGTCTGTTGGTCGTTAGTCGAAATCTTGGGCATATCCAATTTATCCAAAAATGTATGTAGCTGATCTTCGTTATCAGGGGATTCAGACGTGTAGAGACGAGAGTAGTAGGTTTTAAAGATGTTATTAATCTCTCCCGGGTCAGAAGTGAGAGAGCCCAACCCGTCCCGAATCTGGGTGATTTGGTTCGAGGCCACCCTAGCCTTTAGTTGGTGGGCCAGGAGACGGCCAGCTTTATCGCCATGTTCATATATAGACCCTCGTGAGTGTAGAAGGAGTCGTTCAGCCTCTCTTGTTAGGAGAAGGTCAAGTTCTGTTTGGAGCCCCATCCGTTCTTTAGATAGATCAGGTGATTGAGTGGAAAATAGTTGGTTGTCTAGATTAATGATAGATTCTTCCAGTTCTCTTTGGCGTGCTCTACGAAGTTTATTAACATGAGACGTATGCGAGATGATCTTACCCCTAAGAAAAGCTTTAAGGGTTTCCCAGAGTAGGGACGCAGAGGTCTCTTCATTTTGGTTGGTCTCACAGAAGAATGCAATTGATTCCGAAATACACGCACAAAAGGCTGCATCAGAAAGTAAAAGAGGGTCAAGACGCCAGAATCTAAATTCCTTAGGCTTATGATCAAAGTGAAGGTCCAGGATCACAGTTGAATGATCTGATACAGTTATCGGTGAGTATTGAACGGAGACAATCGACGAAATAAATGTTTTATCAACAATAAAATAATCTATGCGAGAGTATGAACGATGTGCATGGGAAAAGAAAGAGTATTGCCTAGCCGAGGGGTGTAAAAATCTCCACGGGTCGACGTAGCCATAGTGGTCCATAAAAGCAGAGAGAGTCTGTGCCGTTTTAGAGGGCGCCACAGTTCTGAAACTAGATCTGTCTAGTGTTGGGTCTATAACACAATTCATATCTCCTCCCAGTATCAATAGATGGGAATTCAAATTGGGGATGGTGGAGAATAGCGATTTCACAAAATTATGATCATCCCAATTGGGAGCATACACAGAAACTAAGATGACCGGCTTCTGATAGAGAGTACCAGAAATGATGACATAACGTCCATTTGGATCTAAAATTGTATTAGTAGGGGTGAAATTTACTTTTTTCCGAATTAAAATGGCTGTGCCCCTTGTCTTTAGGTTAAATTGTGAATGAAACATTTGTCCAATCCACGGCCTATTCAGCTTTCGCTGATCAGATTTACAGAGATGTGTCTCTTGTATAAACATTATATCCGCCTTCAGGTTTTTAAGATGTGTCATAATCTTTGTGCGTTTCACCGAAGCATTCAACCCACCAGTGTTCAAAGAGAGTATCCTGACCGCCTGTCCACCACCAGTCCCTGTACCAGTTATATTAGCCATGACACTGCATACAGCATCGAAGGTGTAAGATCAGCCTTAGAACATCCACAACTAAAAATGGAGAGAACAGTGTACATAAAGATGACAAAACAGAATGTAAATGAAACAGCTGCCTCAAACAAATGGAAACCTGTAGCCCCATCAAGATAAATGCCCCACCCTCTCCCTCCCATCCTCTACTCCTTCCCACCTCCTCCCATGCCCTAGACCCCCTCCCTCCCCACCCCTGAGCTCCATCTGCCAATGA